GTCTAGTCTTTAAATAACTATGGGCAAGCCACAACTCTAGATAACCTCAGGAGCCAGCTCCTGATGCACGCAAAAGTGATTTGTCTCGAGCTTTATCTTTTAATTTGCGCTTAATACATGTATTATATTGTGGAGCGTCTGCCACGCTCCCCACTGATTCACTGTTAATCTACATAACACTTGAAATTCCTCACATTCATTCACACACTTCTGTCCTACTTTACCAAACCACCGATTCGCTTTACTCAACCTCACACCATCTTGCTGTTAGGTAATTTCTTAGTTAGATAGATATTGATTAGAGATCTGTTGTATTAGAAGATGTTAGTGCAGCCAGGATGTCTTCCTCAGGCTGTTAAATGCAAGGTTAGTTAAAGCAGAGAAAGTCGGCAGTCAGGGACGAATGTTATTATGACGGTAAAAGTAACCATAATATTTGTCTTAATGTGTAATGTTATGTTAAATTGTTTTAGATACACACCACGAAAACAACAGGCACACACATTATTTTCTTCATGTTTTATCTACTGCTCTGCTCAGCTGCCAAGCTGGCATATCAGGTGACGTCACGGTTTGACGCGCTGCGTAGAATGGGCTAGCCCAGAAATGATTAATATTGTATAGGAATTCTTGGTTCGGGGTCTTTTCTGCTTCCGGGCTGCTTGGGCAGCCTGGGGTGGGAAGATCTCTGGACTTGAAGTGTTAATTCTTGCCTGTGCCTCTTTGAATAAACCAGCACGGTTATAGTTTTTATATGCTCAAGTGGTCTGAGTCGTCCCTCTGAGTTCCTGGTTTGAAAGAACCGGACGAGGCTTTATAATAGAATAGAGCCTTTATAACCAATATCTATCTGACTAAAAATACCTAACACTATTCCTGTAATTAAGGGGCCTAAGTCAAATGATAAACAACAGCCCCCAGACCTAAAGTACATACAAGTATTGTATGTAGATAAACTTTGGAGCATATAGTGTATGATACCTCTTTAAGTTCAGATAAGGCTTGGAAATTTAGCAGTTTAAGCCTCTCAAACAGTATGTTTCTTGTTGGATACAAGAAATCACAAAAATGTTTCTCTGCAGTCCAGCTTTGGATCAGTGCAAAGGTCTTCTATTTAAGGGCAGTCTGACATTTTTGGGAGAAAATGTTGCCTATTTTTAGAAGCACAAATCACGGGGAATGAACAAAAAAATCTGGGGCAGCCACAAACTTACCCTGTATGTTCCTGTGTTTATACAACCACAATAGATAGTAATAGTAAAAGACTGTAGACACCGTAACATAGTACAAAGAATCCCTAAGCTTTCCCTGACACCATACGCCTGTCAACTCTCTGTTCCCGAGTGCAGTTCTAGCATA